GATGATGATGATGATGATGATGATGATGATGATGATGATGATGATGATGATGAAATCCAGTTCCGCTAAATTTGTCTCGCATGCACCATTGTGTATCATGCTATAAGTGAACGTATACTTTGTTTCCATAGTGCTGTTATTGGTTCTTCTTTGTTTTATCTCGTTCACGAAGAGGCCTATCAATACGAAACGTTGAACGTAATATTCTATAATGTCATAAAATGTTTCAGATACTTTGCTCCCGTAGCGTTCTTGTTGGTTTTTCTTTTATCATCTAGATCTAGTTCCATAAGAGGTCTTTCAGGGTAAAACGTTGAACACAATATTCTATATTGTTATAAATTTTTTCAAATGCTCAGGTATCGACCAACTTTTCGAGTGCGGTTTTTTTTTTCCTTAAAACGTTTACAACAACAACAGCAACAATAACAACAACAACAAAAACAACAACAACAACAACAACAACAACGACAACAACAACAACGACGACGACGATGACGATGATGATGATGAGGAGGAGGAGGAAAAGGAGGAGGGGGAGGAGGAGGATGTTGATAATTATTTTCCATTCCGCCAAATTTTTCTCGCATGCACCATCGAACATCATAGTATATAAAGGTTCATGTTTACTTTTTATTCCATAATGTTGTTATTGGCTTTTCTCTTTCTTTTTTTTTTTTTCTTTTTAAAAAAATCAAATCACAATCCTGAAGAGGCCAATAAGAGTAATACGTTAAACATATTCTGTAATGTTATTTAACTTTTCAAATGCTCAAGTATCCACCAATTTTTCAGGGTGAGGTGGTGGAGTGGGGGGTCTTATTGTGCTTACAACCATGATGGCGATGATGATGATAATGGATGAGGAAGAGAAGGAGGACGAGGAGGTCGAGGAGGACGAGGAGGACGAGGACGAGGACGAGGAGGATATGATTGATGATGATATAATTTCACGGTTCAGGCACACCAGAAACGAATTTACTTTATTTTCTTCCTTTTCGAACTTCGGGTTTGTTTAGTCGTTGTTTTGTTGTTGTTTTTTTGTATTTATTTTGTTTTGTTTTGTTGGAGTTTTTCGTTTTTGTTTTTTGTTTTTGTTTGTTTTTGTTTTGGATT